TGTGTGTGTGGCCAGCTCAGCCCACCAGGGGGCGGGGCTGGCTGGCATGTGGTGCTGGGGGATTGAACCGCGGTCCCTGTGCTTTGCTAGGCTTGTTCTAAGTAGGTGCTTTAGACCACTGAGCCATCTCCCCAGCCCCTGGTACTTCATTTTGATTGAAAGCTACTGCTTTTGCCAGTGTTTCTTACATAATTTTCATCAAATCTGTACTGTATTTCTTTTTTTTTTTTTTTTTTTTTTATTTGTGTGTGTGTGTGCGCGTGTGTCCCCAGCTCAGCCCACCAGGGGGCGGGGCTGGCTGGCATGTGGTGCTGGGGGATTAAACCATGGTCCCTGTGCTCTGCTAAGCTTGTTCTAAGTAGGTGCTTTAGACCACCAAGCCATCTCACCAGCCCCTGTAATGTATTTCTTGATCCTACCTGCGGAAAAGTGTTTCTCACAGCTGCGACATCACTGCCCCCTGGCTGACAGTGACTGAAAGTTTCCACATGATAGATGATTCCAGTCAGAGGTCACAGTGGGTTGGGTATTCCCCATCTTCCAGGTAGTCCCATTTGCTTTTGCACTACGGGGTCACTCTAGCACTGACCTGCATCCTCAGCCCTTTGTATTTGAGGGGGAACAAGAATTGTTCACTGAATTGCCCAGGCTGGTCTCAGACTTGCAGTGCTCCTGCCTCCATGTCTGGAGCAGCTGGGATTACGGGCTTGGACCAGTCTGATTGAATTTCCCTCTGGTTTGCCCCTTTTTTAAAGCAGTCATTTCCAGGAGGGTTCACAGTGACATGCAGTGCGGTGGCTGGCCTGTTACGTCTGTGCACCTCACTGGCCCTGTGTGCACCGGGATTGGCAATGCCTGGTCACTACTTCAGCTACCTTCCCTGTGGAACTCCTGGGACCCAGCGAGACTCTTCCTCCTTGTCACGGAGTACTCTTGAACGGTTCCATGTAACTCTTGCTTTGCCTTTGACATGCGGCAAAGTGTGACCTCACTCAGCTGTCTGAGACATGGATCCTCCTGCTTGGCTGTCATGGTGCTGGTGGCCAGGCAGGAGTTGGCTGGGGCCGGGCACAGGGAGAAAAGCTGTTCTCACTAAGGCTCCAGGTGGTTACTTTCTAATATTCTGTTACTGTTAATAGTTCTTTCCTCTTCCCTGTGTGTGTTGAAGCCTGATTCCTTAGAGTTCTGAATTACCTCCTCCTTTGTAATTCATTTCTTACTCCTTGGTAGGAAAAAGAAAAAGAGGTTGTGATAAATGGATCCTTAAGCTAAATGGAGATGGAACATGTGTTCCATTGCTGCTTTATCTATCAGTGAAATTGTTAATTTTTTATGTACTGAAAGTTCTTAACACTTTAATTGTGCAAATCTGGGGTTTGGGCTCACTGTAGATCTCATACTCGTAGCACATTTCGCCTCCTCACCAGTGGAAGAGGAACTCTTCCCCCAGAGCATGGATTATTTTTGTTAGATATAAATTGTTATCTAATTAGTTTTTCTGGAAGAAATCAAGATTACCCAAGGCAGACACAGTGGTGCTTAGTTAGATAATGAAAGTAGAGAAGAGTCCATACAAGTCAAGAGACATTCTTTTTTGTTTCCTGAGAACCTTTTGTGAGATTGGTAAGGACTCTGTGCTTGATCCACTGTCTTCATTCAAATTTGATCTAGAGTTAATTTATTTAACCTAATATACAATCCCTCTTTGCTTCTAGCTTTCACGAAGTTGATCACAGTAAATGGACAAGAGTATCATCTTCAGCTTGTAGACACAGCTGGGCAGGTGAGTGACCCCAGATGCAAGGTGTCCCCTGGCGGTGAGCGCAGCCAGCAGCAGGGCCGGCACCCTGTGGAACTGTGCAAGTCCCGGGGTGCCAGCGTGCTGTAGCCCTGCCCTCCTGAGGCTGTGTAGTGGCTTTCCGAGGAGCTCTTTCCCAGTTGTTTGCTTAGTTCTAGGGGTTCACACTGCAGAGTAGTGTTTTTCTATTTTCTGAGTGTTAGTTCTGTATTAGAAAATCATATTAGTGCTTTCTCTCCCCGCATAATGTATATTGTCCTACTTTAAAAGCAAAACTAGATCTCAGGACCAGCATGAGAAAGGTAAAGGGTAGAAACAGACAATCTCATCTTAGAAGGACTTTGGCCATGGAACATGGGTTTTCATTTGATTTGCTGACAGTGGCTAAAAGTTAAATTTGCCAAAAGTTAACTTTCGCCCCTAAAAAGCATGCTACAGGTTGATCAGTGTGATGGTGGTGTGTGGAACGGTTCACCAGGGCAACTGACTGGAAGTGAGGGGGAAAGAAATGAGTAGTGCTGGGAATGAAAAAGCCCTTTCACAGCTTAGCTGCCTCGTTTCCATGGTAGCTGCTCCCACTCTGGCTAGAAACCATTCTGTTAGACTGAATCTGTCCCTGTTCACTGGAGGGTGGGGGGTGGCAGAGGATGGTATCTAGTTCCTAACTCCTCCTCCCTCGAGCAGCACAAAGTGCCAGGCAAGGGGGAGGTGGGCGCTTTCATCTGGCCAGCCGCCTTGAAAAGAGGCTTTTCCTGGAGCCTGGAGAAGCTGAAGTCGGCCTGGAGAGCAACGTGACAAGTCCTGTGGGTTGGGAATGAATCCCCTCTCTTTGTTTTCAAGTGAACGGCTCCTTTGTGAGAGCAAGAAATAGCTATACTGAGTGGTGTTAGCACTGGAGGAGCCCTGGGGTTTTCATTCTAAAAGCTGGGAGGGAAGTAAACCAAACTTGTAGTCTTAGTGCGGGCGCCCAGCGCTGCACGCAGCCTCCCTCCCACCCTCACCCCGTGCTCCCGGCCGGACTAATAGGCCTCAGAGTGGGATGTGCCAGTGGCTGCCTGAACAGAGCCTCCCGTGGAGCCATGTCCCGTGACAGTGTGCATCAGGGCTCAAGGGAACAAGTAGAGTAGCGGCCTCCATGGCGCAGGGTCACAGCTACTCTAAGGCTGGTGCAGAAAAACTTCTAGTGGAGTGGTTTGGGGTTGTGTCTTTTTCTTTTTCTTTTTTTTTTTTTTTTTTTTCCCCCCTTCTCTTTTTGAGACAGGGTCTCACTATGCAGTCCAGGCTGGCTTTGAGCTCACTTTGTAGCCCAGGCTGGTCTCAAACTTGCAATGATCCTCCTGACTCACCCTCCTGAATGCTAGGATTACAGTGTGACCACTGCTGTCTGCTTCGTGTCTGTCTTTACACAAAGGTGACTGAGTAGTTTTTGCTTGAGCCAAGACACACTTAGCATCTGTAGGCTTCAGTTACTGGTTGTGCCGGGATGCAGGGACACACTTAGCGTGACATGGAAAAGAAGGGAGCATTGGGGGCTGGAGAGATGGCTCAGTGGTCTAAAGCACCTACTTGAAACAAGCTTGGCAAAACACAGGGACCGCGGTTCGATCCCCCAGCACCACATGCCAGCCAGCCCCGCCCCCTGGTGGGCTGAGCTGGCCACACACACACACAATAAATAAATGTAATAAATAAAAATAAATAAATATTAAAAAAAAAAAAAAAAAGAAGGGAGCATTGTGTGCCTGCAGTGCAGTCTCTTGGAGTCTCCCTGCGGCTCCTGGAAAGTGAGGGTATGGCTGTGGATTGGCAGAGCACTTCTGTGTAGCCTTAGAAACTCGCCTCCATGGGGACTGTGTGTACTAGTGTCAGGCGTGCGCTGGAGTCTCAGTGTGTGAGGAAGAGGAGCCCTTACTGCACCTTGCACTGCCTACTGCACAGGTCAGGAGACGGCAGCATCTGCCTGGCTGATGCCGTAAGGCCAGCAGTCACCCAGAGGTAGCACAAGTGACACAGGCAGCTGGGAGGAGCTGCGGGAGGATGTCTTTGTGTTGGCTTCTTTATCAGCAGAGAAGGTGCTGCTTGCTCTAAACCCGTGGTGGTGAACCTATGGCACATGTGATACCGTTCTCTTAAGACAAAAATGTTAGTGTAGGAGTCATTTCTTTCTCAATAAAACCTCAGTATTCAGGCTTAATTGCAGTGTTGGCACTTTGTGATAAGTAAGTGGGTTTTGGGTAATGGTTTGGGCACTTGTCTTGAAAAGGTTCACGGGTCTATGCCATGCATGTACGTGGGGCACCAAAGACTTTGTATGTGTTGGATATTACAGGTAGTGGAAGGGAAGGGATCCCATCCTAGAGAATGAGTGTAGGGTTGTGATACGACGAGAGCGGTGGCTGCATGTGCAGCTCTGTTGCTCCTTTGGGTAACAATATTCAGAATAGGCACGGTGGCACACACCTCTGAGTCCCAGCACTTGGGAAGTTGAGGCAGAAGAATCACCAGCAGTTCAAGGCTAGCCTGAGGTACATAGTGAGTTCAAGACCAACGTCATTTGGCTACTTTGAATAATTTGTCATTGTAGCCAGTCTTTCTTAAAGGTAGACAATGAAAAGAAAGGATGTGGCTGTGTTTATGACTCAATAATGCGACCTCCTGGATTGTCCTTGGCTGTGGGAAACGGTAAGAGTGAGCCCAAACGTAGGCTAGTTGTGGCTTGGGGTGGCGATCACGGGGAGAGATGGAGAGTGCCTTTCATATGCCCTACAGCTGGGTATATCCCAGCTCCTGCAGAGGCGCTCCAGGCAGCTTGGGCAACGGAAGCTTAGCCAGACCCCGTCTCCAGAAAAGTAAGCCAAACTAACTGGGTTCACTACCTTACACTTTTGAATTTTCATCTTTTTTTTTTTTTGTGCAGTACCAGAGATGGAACTCAGGACCTTATACTTGCCAGGCAAGGGCTTATTCTACTGAGCTATCTCCCCAGCTCCCGAATTTTCATCTTTTTAGGATAGGGTTTCACTATGCAGGAGGCCAAATTTAAGTGATTAGTGATCCATTCTGAAAAAAAGACGACTAAGGATGTAGCTCAGTGTGAAGACCTTGAGTTCAGTCCCTGCTACTGCAGAAGTGGACAGTAGGTCACATCGCAGTACATGATAGCGGCCTTGTGTGTCTCGTTCCCGTGCCTCCTAACTGTGTTGTTTCCTCTTGGGCCTGATTCATGGCTCTAGCAGCAGTGAACACACTACACATATTTGTACAAACATACACGTTGAATAACCTAGCTGTGTAAGGCAGGCTCCGCCCTACAGGTTTGTGTCAGTATACTTTGATGTTTCCACAGTGGAAAAACTCACTAATGTGACATTTCAAAGAACTTGTCCCTATTAAATGACCAATAGCTATGTGTACTGTATACTAAATAGTATTTGCTAATATGTATAGCATGCTATGCAGGCATTTATTGTGAACAAGTTTACTCCTTAATTGTGTAGATTAGTGACCAGGCATGGTGGTGGCACACATCTATAATCCCAGCACTCAGGAGGCTGAAGCAGAAGAATTTGCTTGAGTTTTAGGCCGGTCTAGGCTACGAGGTCAGCTCGAGGCCAGCCTAAACTGCATAGTGAAACCTTGTCTCAAAAAGACAAACAAAACAAAAAAACCTAACCATTGTGATTTTAATTTAAAGTGAATAACTCAAGTTGCCCCGACAGGGCTCAATTTTATGATCCTCATGCTTCAGCTTCCCAGAGTGCTGGGCTTACAGGTAAGCACCACTATAATTGCCTATACCACACTGCTTTATAGTAAACCTTTTACTTATTTTTGCAGTGCTAGGGATCAAACCCAAGACTTAGGCAAGCCAGGCAAGTAAGCACTCTATCACTGACCTCCAGCCCTCATTTCTTTAAATGGAAGTGTGCTCTACAGTAACAATAAAAAGTATAGTGCAGTACAGAAACTGGTACTGCTCACTGTCGTGACCCAGTACATGTGCTCCCACGTGTGCTGCACTGCTTTCGGCCCACTGCGGCCGTCATCTCGGAGTGCTGAGATGGAGACACAGCACTGCATCCTTCAGTGGCAGACTGTGGCTGCGACTGATCCTGGGGGCCCTGTCCTGCTTGTGTCCATCACTGACCCAGGCGTTGTGTTGGCAGTGAGTCTTGGGGTGTTTTTTGTTTTTAGTTTTGTTGTTGTTTTTGGTTTGTTT